CGAACCAATTCCTCAACCACATCAATTCCATACACCCAGCCATCAAATTCACCATGGAAGTGGAAAAGGATGGCAAGTTACCATTCTTGGATGTTTTAATCGAAAGAGACCAGATGGCTCATTGGGACACTGTCTACAGGAAAGCCACCCACACGGATACCTATCTAAAACCTGACTCCCACCACCATCCAGCCCAGAAAAATGTCCTCATCAAAACTCTCCACCATAGGGCTCGTTGCATTTCCGACCATCACCACCTAGCCAGTGAACTGGAGCACGTACATCAAGCCCTCAAGATGAATGGATATTCGGATCGCACAATCCGTAAAGCTGTCACCCCAACCGTTGGGAGAGAACCACCTGAGGACCCAATCAAAACCATCACCTTGCCATACATAGGAAGGGTCACCAAAAATATTTCCAATATCATGAGCAAACACAAGATCCAGGTCCGATTCAATAGAGTACATAAAATTCGTGATTTTATCCCATCTGTGAAGAATGTGATCCCTGACATGCAATATCCCGGCGTCTACAAACTAAGCTGTGTCTTGCGGCAGTAGTTACATTGGGGAAACTAAGCGACAAGTCTCGGACTGTGTTCGAGAACTCAAGGCGGATCTGAAACACGGTAGGACCAACACCTCTGCCGTGGCTGATCATTGTTTTAACGCTGTGGGCACACATTAAATTGATTTCTCCAAGACGAATGTACTATGCAAACCCACTGGCTATCAACAAAGATTTGTTCATGAAGCCATCCAGATATATAAACATGGACACAATTTCAACCGAGAAAGATGGGTACAAACTGAGCAATTATTGGAAGGACGTTATTAACCAGGTAAAGTCATAACTGGCTGTAATGCTTCCATCCTACCTGCCTATGTTATCAGTTATTTCCGACTCTTTGAGTTACATTACCTTGTTAAATGTCTTTACATTAACAGGCTAAATGTCTCACTAACATAGCTGCTGCTCCCTTTTCCTCGATGCGGCGGTGACGCTCGTTGTTTAATAGGCTGAATGTCTCTCATTAACACAGCTGCGGGAACCATCTCAAATTGACATGCTAATCTCAAATCTCGAGCAATACAATGGCTTCTTTAGTACCGTGACCATGGGGTTACATTAACAGATTGACATGCTAATCTCTAGCAATACAATAGCCGAGGTATACCGAGCTCTGCGATCTTACACTTCCTTTCAAATTCCATCTCTAGCCCCACCCACTTACCCTTGGGTTGCACCCATCTCAAACCTTTATAACCGATGGCTGCAGTAGCTCTCTCGCTACATTTCTTCCTGCCTCAGCAGTCCGCCTGCTGTATTTTTTCACCTGAAGACGATTGCTTGTGTTGCGATCGAAATGTCGTGATTTTATTATTGTTTTATTATTTTTCTATCTACGTGACTTTACCGAAAGACCCAAAGAGTATGTCTTGTATATACTAGTTAATAGACGCGCATAGCAAGAGTGACTTGAAGTCTCTCTGAGCTTTGCCCTCCACTACCCTTTCACTTTTTGACGTAAAACTTTCGTGACTGCAGGAATGCATATTCTATGGTTCTTTCGGTAAAGTCACATAGATAGAAAAAATTATAACAATTAAATAATACAAATTTAAATAAAGTGAATAAAAAATAATACAAATATCACAAGCGGTCGTCATCAGGTGATCGAAACGTCGTGATATTTTATTTAAAAAATTATTCACTTTATTTTCATTTTTATTATTTTATTGTTATTATTTTTTCTATCGACGAGACTTTATCAAAAGAACCATAGAATACCCTTTCACTGTTTACCCATCGTGCAATACCACGTTTTGTCCGCCAGACTGCGCAATACTGATTGTGAATTGAATAGTAAACAATATTTTGGTCATGGCTTTTACCTACCTGTAAGGTGTTGGGGAATGCATAGCTCATAGATTCAATGTTTCTGTTTCCTTCTGCTCATAATGAGCGTTTACTCGACTCTGCAATGGAAGTTACTGAAATAATGTTACTGACAATTTAACTTTGTCATCATCGTCCGTGTTGTTTTATCCACTGTTGGATGATGACTGCCGATGCCACAATTTAACTCGTTCCTGAATGAGCATATCGCTGCAATGAGGTTAACCCATTCAGGAGCGAGAGATGTTGAGAGGGCAAGCACCACACTCACCCACTCTGGGTGAGTATAGTGGTTGGCCTCTCAGACCTTTCCATCTTTTGGCTGCCACTCCATCACAGATTTGCCCATTGGGCATCGTCCCTCAATGTCCTGCCTAAGGATACTTTCCTGAACAGTCGCTATGATGTCCTTAGGAAGTCCACGTATTCCTCTTCCTGTCTCTCAGTTTGCAATTCCTAGCATGTACCACTCTGCTGATTTGTGTATTTTTTTCCCACCAACCATCATCCCCTTGATGTCCTGCCTAAGCCATCCAAGTAGAGGCCATTACACACAAGAGTCAAACTATGTCCAAATGTATTTATTTCATATGATTATACTTATACAGGTGGTCCCCGCTTTTATGACGTCACGATGCGTTCCCAAGAACCATGTCATCGTAAATTGGACCATATTTTCCCATAGACGGTACAAACAGTAGAAACATAATTTGCTGATTTGTTTTTTACTTTTATCAATCATATTTAAGAGGGCTTATTCAATCGGTAAAATTCCACAAAAACACTTAAGAATAACTGAAGCTCCATGCCAAGTCACATCGGAAACCAGACTGACTGTTCAAATGCGTTCACGTCGGAAGATATGTCGTAAATAAAGTTCTCACATCGTAAATCTATCCATGGTGCCGTAATACAAGCGTTTTAAATCGGACCATCATAAACCAGAGACCGCCTGTATACAATTATACATTTGCGTCTGTCAGCCTGCGTGTCTGCTCGTGTATACGTGTCTTGAGTAAATATATTCCCACTTCTGTACGATTGCAGACCACAGCCGTTCCCGACACAGAAAAGAAAGAGAAGAAGGAAAAGGGTTTGTCTCGGAGGCGGAGGCACTCCCCCTCGCCCACAGAGCCCAGAAAAAAGCCAAATTCCAAGAAGAGGCAAGTCACACGCACCCCAAACTATTACCTATTTGGAAAACTATAAACAATGTTTTTATTTCACGAGCTAAAGCCCACTGAGTTATTAGCTTATTTTTGAGAAGTGACCCAGCCTTAACAAATTAAAGCTCAACAAAGTGGCTGATCACCGTGTGAAAATGTATTGCAGCCAAATACTCTCAACGCGTAGCGTCGAATTAGGGGACCCAGAGAAAACTACACGCGACCATGGGGTAAACATGCAAACTCCAAATCTACAGCAGCAGCAGGCTTCAGGGTTGGGATCAAACCCACAACCTCCTGTATACCAGGCGAGGTAGCTAACATCTTGCCACCCTGGCACCCCTTACATAGCTGCAAGGGGTAGCTATACACGCAGACTTAATAACAAGAGTAATTTAGTACATTTGGTATTCATGCCATTCTTATCGTGCAAGGCTGTCACAAAGGCGCTAAATTTGAACAGACGGTCTGCAGTAGTTTTGCAGTACAGGGCAATATCAGAATCAGAATATTTATACTGGAGAAATTTGATGAGCTATAAAGCTCTTTTTGACATGTCCAGTAGGGGCACTGGTTCAGAATTTTACAACAACAACAAACAGTAAAAAAACACAGTAGGAGTGCAAAGTCGAGGAAAGGTAAACAAATCACACGAAAAATTAAACGAAACAAATTTTTATTTTATCAGATAAAGCCGACTGAGCTATTATCTTCTTTTTCAGAAGCGACCTGGCCACAAATGATAGCTCAACGAAGTGGCTTATCACGTGTAAATTTATAGCAGCCAATTAATCTAAACAATCTAAATGCATGTTTCTAAATGTGGAGGGAAAAACCGGAGGACCCGGAGAAAAATTGTACGCGACTATGGGAAGAGCATGCAAACTCCACGTATACAGGTGTTAGGGTCAGAATATAACAGGCGAGGTAGTTAACATCATGCCACTGCTATATACAATCCCAATCGAACTAGATTCGAAGCTTTCATGACTAAGAGAGTAATCCCAATCGAGTTATACATTTAGAAAAATGTGGATCGTGATGCTGGCCGACAATGGTCTACACTTTCCGAATGACGTCATAGAACTTTTAACATCCACTGTGAAGCAGACGGCCAATCCAATCTCATTCCTGCTCCCAAGACACAAAACTAAGCGTTGAGAGTGTGGTTTGCACCCGACCCCTGACACACTGGGTCCCACAGGAGGCATACGATGGGTGAGCCATTAGGAAAGAGGCATGGGCGCAAGGACGAGGAGGAAGAGGAGGAGGACCTTACGAAAGACATGGAGGAGCCTCTACACGTGCCCAACATGACCGAGGTTCAGCTGCCCAAGAATGGTGGGTGCCCCATTGCTCGCCGTCTGTGTGCACATCTGAGCGTAAGGGTGCAGTGGTAATTTTGATTATGCATCAAAACAAGATGCCCGACTTCGGCACCTATCTGTGTGGAGTCTGTGTATTGTTCTCCCCCTGTTCGGCATGGGTTTCCTCCCAGGTTATCCGGTGTCCTCTCAATGCTGAATTTGTTTTTATTGAAATCTAATTTCTTTAAAACTGATTTTTGTGTTTTAGTTTGTTGTCCTTCCCCCGCTCCTCCAATTAGCATGTTTGTCTATATACGGTGTGAAAGAAGTTCAAAATACGTACATACATACCTGCAAATTCTTTAATTGGGGTTATATGTAGCAATATCGCACCCGGTTTGTGAAAACTTTGCAGGACTCAAGGAGGCTTTTTTGGGTAGATGAGCAAAGAAATCATGAGAGATTTCGCTATCCTTAACACTTACAGTAGAACCTCTGGTCACGAACGCTTCTGACCACGACCAAATCGGGTTCCGACCAAAAAATTCACAAAATGTTTTAATCTGGTCACGAACACATACTCGGGTGGCGATCAAACATGGCCGCGGCCGATTTCCCCTTCCGCGCCATTATTTTTGTAAGCACCAAATTTCCTGTTGTTTGTTTACAAACAACAGCGACCCACGTGTGGCCGCTTGCTCCGTCAGTCTCGCTTAGTAATCGGTCTCGGTCAGACGTGCGCTCATTCGCTGTGAACTCTGTGCAGTATTTTGTGTATTTTTACATTAATTTTGCAATTAGCCATGGCCTCTAATCAAGTGAAGAGTGGTAATGTTGGTGAGAAGAAGGTTTTAAAGAAAATTGAAATCGAAGTGAAGAAGGAAATTATTGAAAAGTATGAGCGTGGTGTGCGTGTTACCGATCTTGCTGCAGAGTACCAGAAATCAAAGTCTACGGTCTCGACTATTTTGAAGCAGAAAGAGGCTATTAAAGCAGTTAATGTTGCAAGGGGAGTTACAATGTTAACCAAGCAGAGGCCTCAAGTGCTGAAAGAGGTGTAAAAACTGTTGCTAGTGTTAACTTACTTTCAATAGAAACATGAATTGCTCATACGAATATTCTCTCTCTCTCAGAATCGACCGACTGATGTAGCAGACGAAACAATGATCTTGTTGAACGATTCTAAACTTTGACGTGGCAATGTTAGTTTTCTCTGTTGTTCAAGGTTTTCTCTGTGTTATTCAATGTTTTTACATTTAGTTTACTATTACACTGTGAATTCTATGGCATAATTAACTATTTTTGTGCTTAAAAATCTTTAAAAAACAATACTTGTATACAGTTTGTAGGAATCTGGAACGGATTAATCGTATTTACATACAATCCAATGGGTCACGACCAAATCGAATTGCGACCAAAGTTGTGGAACGAATTATGGTCGTGACCAGAGGTTCTACTGTACTTACCCAGAAAGCCTCTCTCGAGTCTCATGACCTGTTTCAGGCGATTGCTGCCAAGGTTTCGTAGTAGGTGATGGTGATTGCTATATATATAAAATCCGATTTGAGTAATTTATGGGTAATCTTTTTCAATTTTCCAAATTTGGACCATGATGCTGGCACACAATGGCAGCTCTTGGGATTGTTGACATGGGATCTTTAACGTCCACTATGAAGCAGACTGCTTGTATTTTTGTGGTTAATGCACACTGCAGTATTTGCTTATAATAATCTCAATCTAAGCTTTCCTGCACTCATCCCATGAGTGTTCCATTCACTTATGTCTCCAAAATTTGACATCCATTCGTAAATTAAAACTGATTTTACTTAAGCCAATTAATTATTCATCCTTTTTTGTTTCACGTTTTGTCAATCATTGCATCTGCAACATTTATTCCCCCATGAAGTCACCGCTTCAACTGCTGAGTCAACTCTTTCTCCATCCGCAATTTGTCTCGTTTCTTTGTCAACCCAACCTCTTTCCAATCAAATAGCTTTCTTTATATTGTTAAATATTTTAAAAATATTTCAGCTACAGTGTGCATTGTTCATACACAGACCATCTCAAAATGCTGGGTCAAAAATTTGACTTGCAATACCAATGACTGTGTAAGGTATTGCATACTAAGTTAATACAATGTCGAGTCTTCCTGATGCCTTCAAGGCCAAACTTTGTATATTGCTTGGAAAGCATGCTTGAAATGTGGAATGTAATTTCACGTGCCTTAGTTTTTAAAGAGCTTTCTAAACGTTTGCAGTGATTAAGGTGTCGTTGTTTTACTTTGCAGTTTATACAAAGAAAGACACAGAAGTGGCTCCTATTAAAGGCGGTGTCATGACAGATTTAGGTGAGTATCTTTAACACAAAACAGCGAGGATCATCAGATTAAAAAAACATTTGTACAAATATTGTTGCCATTTTATGCCAGCCTCAAGTTGCCAAAGCGTGTTTCTGTTGTTTGAGAACCCCCGGGTTGGCATTCATCACGGAGCCAGTGTAAATGAAGTCGATGGTTTGACAGTGCAGCTGTTGATAATTGTCTATACTTTATAAACTCAAAAGTAGTAAATTGCACAAAAAACCCACCACATTCATCAGCGACGCTGTCTGTGTAAAAGCCAAATGGACCGAGTTATTATTTTGTTTGCCCTCGTCCACCGCTGTCAATGTATATTCCCTTTAAATCATGTTATTTAATCATTTTTATTGAGTATATTGCACATGTTGGTGCTTTCCAAATGCCCAGCCTGTGTAATCCAGCACTCTGGAGGCAACAGCGAGGGTTGGTGGATCACCGCACAAACATATTGAAACTCCCTGTGGGCGTCGAGGTGCTGTACCCTGGCTTGCCAGGCAGAGTAGCAAGTGTGGGCTAATCACCATCTGCTTCCATCTGTACGGGGATAGAGCGTTGCCCCCTTACGCGTGCGCGTGGGTTTTCTGCAGGTGCTCCGGTTCCCTCCCACTTGTATAATAAACACTTACATCTTCAAAATATAAACACGATGAAGCAGGGGCCTCCTGAAAAAGAGTTCTGCGACTGGATAAATAAGTAAGTGAGAATTAATTGAAAATTTATTGCATGTTTTTTTTACTTCAACAGACGAACAAGAAGATGAAAATACTGATCTTGGAGCCAAGGTCAGATATGCTACTAACTCTCTGTTACGCTCTTGGCTAAGTTGGTACTTTTACTCCCAGTGTTGTTTGCATAATTTGTTTTTTTAATTGAAAAAGTTAAACCTGCGTTGAAAAAAGTGGGTCTAGTGACTCGGTAGACTCATATCAGCGACACGTGACAAGGAACGTTCACAGAGTATGACTCTCCGATTTTAATAGACATTTTTACGTTAACGGTTACTCGGTGATAGGCCAGGACTGGTTAAACTCCTCGTGCCATCTTTGCCCCTGTTAGCTGCGATAGAGGGAATAACCCCTCCACCTATGGGACCACGAGGTGGACATGCAAACTAAAGTATATAAGAAGCAGCAGTCCAGCCATTAGTTTTGACTTCTTCCACACAAGGAATGGATTTGGAGAGTTTCAGATGGTGTTCTGTTGGATCATTTGAATCTTGGTCTCTTCCAATGGGTGGATAAGATCTGGAAGCCCACACCCGTCACACCACACAGTGGATGTGCTGGGGCCACACTCATCAGATCTGCTGCTGACTGCTTGCTGCTGCTGTTGTCTGCTGATGTCTGCTGCTGCTGCTGGCTGCTGCTGCTGGCTGCTGCTGCTGGCTGCGGCTGCTGGCTGCTGCTGCTGGCTGCTGGCTGCTGGCTCCTGCTGCTGCTGCTGGCTGCTGCTGCTGGCTGCTGCTGCTGGCTGCTGCTGCTGCTGGCTGCTGCTGCTGCTGGCTGCTGCTGCTGCTGGCTGCTGCTGCTGCTGCTGCTGGCTGCTGCTGGCTGCTGCTGCTGGCTGCTGCTGCTGCTGGCTCCTGCTGCTGGCTCCTGCTGCTGGCTGCTGCTACTGGCTGTTGCTGCTGGCTGCTGCTGCTGGCTGCTGCTGGCTGCTGCTGCTGGCTGCTGCTGCTGGCTGCTGCTGGCTGCTGGCTGCTGCTGCTGGCTGCTGCTGCTGCTGCTGCTGCTGCTGCTGCTGCTGCTGCTGCTGCTGCTGCTGCTGCTGCTGCTGCTGCTGCTGCTGCTGGCTGCTGCTGGCTGCTGCTGCTGCTGCTGCTGCTGCTGGCTGCTGCTGGCTGCTGCTGCTGCTGCTGCTGGCTGCTGCTGCTGGCTGCTGCTGCTGCTGGCTGCTGCTGCTGGCTGCTGCTGCTGCTGGCTGCTGCTGGCTGCTGCTGGCTGCTGGCTGCTGCTACTGGCTGCTGCTGCTGGCTGCTGCTGTTGGCTGCTGCTGCTGGCTGCTGCTGGCTGCTGCTGCTGCTGTTGGCTGCTGCTGCTGGCTGTTGGCTGCTGCTGTTGGCTGCTGCTGCTGGCTGCTGCTGCTGGCTGCTGCTGCTGGCTACTGCTGCTGGCTGCTGGCTGCTGGCTGCTGCTGCTGGCTGCTGCTGCTGCTGCTGGCTGCTGCTGCTGCTGGCTGCTGCTGCTGCTGCTGCTGCTGCTGCTGCTGCTGCTGCTGCTGCTGCTGCTGCTGCTGCTGCTGCTGCTGCTGCTGCTGCTGCTGCTGCTGCTGCTGCTGCTGCTGCTGCTGCTGCTGCTGCTGCTGCTGCTGCTGGCTGCTGCTGCTGCTGGCTGCTGCTGGCTGCTGCTGCTGGCTCCTGCTGCTGCTGGCTGCTGGCTGCTGCTGCTGGCTGCTGCTGCTGGCTGCTGCTGGCTGCTGCTGCTGCTGGCTGCTGCTGCTGGCTGCTGCTGCTGGCTGCTGCTGCTGCTGGCTGCTGCTGCTGCTGGCTGCTGCTGCTGGCTGCTGCTGCTGCTGCTGGCTGCTGCTGCTGCTGGCTGCTGCTGCTGCTGGCTGTTGCTGCTGGCTGCTGCTGTCTGTTGCTGCTGCTGCTGGCTCCTGCTCCTGCTGCTGGCTGCTGCTGGCTGCTGCTGCTGGCTGCTGCTGCTGGCTGCTGCTGGCTGCTGCTGCTGCTGGCTTGCTGCTGCTGCTGCTGGCTGCTGCTGCTGCTGGCTGCTGCTGCTGGCTGCTGCTGCTGCTGGCTGCTGCTGCTGCTGGCTGCTGCTGCTGTCACTGTGTAGCCATTCATGTACAAATCTTGGTTGAATGTGAAGCTTCACATTCTGTGAATGTTCCACATCTGTATTTTATCACTTGAAGCGATACAATCGGGTTGTCTTTCATAACACCAAACACCCACTGGATCACAGTTTAGTTTTATGCTTCGGGTGGCGCAGTGGTAACACCAAGAAGGGACTGAGTTCAATCCCCACCTTTGTCACCTTGTTGTGGAATTTCTATGTTCTCCCCCTGTTCTATATTTATTTCCTCAAGGTCCTTCAGTTTCTTCCCATAGCAAATAACCCCCCCCCCCCCCCCATACAATGTAACTGCTATAGACCAAAACATGACTTAAAGCTTTCGTGACTGCAGGAATTCATATTCTTGGGTCTTTCGGTAAAGTCACGTAGATAGGGTCAAAGAAAGTAATAAAAAATAACTAAAAACTACGACGTTACGATCGCAATGCATGTGGTCGTCTTCAGGAAAAAGGGGGGTTAGCTTCCAAGGGAAACTGTTTATAAGGGTTTGAAATTGGCGTAGCCCAAATGTCAGCATGATAATGTAAGTGTTCGGCAGCGAGCCTGGCGATGGTTCGTTTTCCATCAATCAAAGGGCTGCCAGGTGAAAACTAGCATGTTAAAGAAAGATTAGCATTGATTTGAAGCTTTCGTGACTGCAGGAATCCATACTCTTTGGTTCTTTCGGTAAAGTCACGTAGGTATAAAATGAAATAAATCACGACGTTTCGGGCGCAACACAAGCGTCCGTCATCAGGTGGGAAAGCTTTCTCACCTGATGACGGATTTATTTTATTTTATACCTACGTGACTTTACCAAAAGAACCAAAGAGTATGGATTCCTGCAGTCACGAAAGCTTCAAATCAATGCTAATCTCTCTGCAAAGAGTAGAGATTAGCATGTGAATGGAAGATCGCAGCACCGCAACCAAGGGGTCGGCGCGCGAAGTGACTGTGAAAGCGCAAGTTTGAAATGGGCGTAAAGCACAACTAACATCGGAAGGTGGTAGGATGGGAACATCATAGCCAATTATGACTTAAACTGGTCGATAACGTCTTTCCAATGATTGTGTCTGTGTTTATATATCTGGATGGCTTCATGAACGAATCCTTGTTGATAGCCAGTGGGCTTGCAAAGTACCTTCATCTTAGAGAAATACATTTCATGTGAGCCCACCGCATTAAAACAATAATCAACCACGGCCGAGATATTGGTCCTACAGTATTTCAGATCTGCCTTATGTTCACGAACACGGTCCAAGACATATCTCTTAGTTTCACCAATGTAACTACTGCCGCAGACACAGCTTAGTTTGTAGACGCCGGGGTATTGCATGTCAGGGATCACATCCATCACAGATGGGATCAGATCACTTTGCACCATAGAGCCCAATGCATCTCTAACCAGGAACACATTGCCAGTGAACTCAAGCACGTACACCAAGCTCTTAAGGCTAATGGTTACTCTGACTACACAATCCGCAAAGCCATCACTCCAACCATGAAGAAGGACCCTCTTGAGGAGCCATTCAAAACCATCACCTTACCCTACATTGCGGAGATCACAAAAAAAATCTCCAAAATCTTGAATAAACACAAGATCCATGTCCGATTCAACACATTACTTAAAACGTGATCTGGTTCCATCTGTAAAATATGTGATTCCGGACATACAGTACCCTGGCATCTACCAACTGAGTTGCCTCTGTGGTAGTAGTTACATTGGAGAAACCAAACGACATGTCTCTGACAGCATCCTTGAGCACAAAGCAGACCAACACGGTAGGACCAACAACTCGGCGGTGGCAGATCACTGTTACAATTCAGTGGGCTCACATGACATTGATTTCTCCAAGATAGAGGTTCTCTGCAAGCCATCTGGCTACCATGAGAGATTCGTTCATGAGGCTATCCACATATACAAACGCAGAGACAATTTCAACCGAGAAGATGGATTCTGGTTTAGCAATCATTGGAAGGATTTGATAAATCATTTCGGGTCTTAATTGATTGTGTTCACGTTTACGGTGACTTTCAGACCGCATTCCATTTTCTTCTCCCCCCTCTTTTCCCAAACATACAGTGAGGGAAAAAAGTATTTGATCCCCTGCTGATTTTGTACTTTTGCCCACTGACAAAGAAATGATCAGTCTATAATTTTAATGGTAGGTTTATTTTAACAGTGAGAGACAGAATAGCAACAACAAAATCCAGAAAAACGCATGTCAAAAATGTTATAAATTGATTTGCATTTTAATGAGGGAAATAAGTATTTGACCCCTCTGCAAAACATCACTTAGTGCTTGGTGGCAAAACCCTTGTTGGCAATCACAGAGGTCAGACGTTTCTTGTAGTTGGCCACCAGGTTTGCACACATCTCAGGAGGGATTTTGTCCCACTCCTCTTTGCAGATCTTCTCCAAGTCATTAAGGTTTCGAGGCTGACGTTTGGAACTCGAACCTTCAGCTCCCTCCACAGATTTTCTATGGGATTAAGGTCTGGAGACGGGCTAGGCCACTCCAGGACCTTAATGTGCTTCTTCTTGAGCCACTCCTTTATTGCCTTGGCCGTGTGTTTTGGGTCATTGTCATGCTGGAATACCCATCCACGATTTTCAATGCCCTGGCTGAGGGGAAGGAGGTTCTCACCCAAGATTTGATGGTACATGGCCCCGTCCCTTTGATGTGGTGAAGTTGTCCTGTCCCCTTAGCAGAAAAACATCCCCCAAGCATAATGTTTCCACCTCCATGTTTGACGGTGGGGATGGTTTTCTTGGGGTCATAGGCAGCATTCCTCCTCCTCCAAACACGGCGAGTTGAGTTGATGCCAAAGAGCTCATTTTGGTCTCATCTGACCACAACACTTTCACCCAGTTGTCCTCTGAATCATTCAGATGTTCATTGGCAAACTTCAGACGGGCATGTATATGTGCTTTCTTGAGCAGGGGGACCTTGCGGGCACTGTAGGATTTCTCCAATGTAACTGCTACCACAGAGGCAACTTAGTTTGTAGACGCCAGGGTGTACTGTATGTCTGGAACCACATCTTTTACAGACGGGACCAGATCACGGATTTTATGTACTGTGTTGAATCGGACAGTATATAATTTAATGTTGGGTTTGTTTATGGCAGTATATAGTACGGTGTAGACTCGTGTAATGTAAGAGAATAACGTTTAGATGGAAGCATATTATATAATTTTTACGACGTAGAATTGTAATGTATTACTTACTGTTAGTAACTCAGCTTATTGTAGAGTATAGTTAGTATACTGATGATACTATGTAGTTTATACTTTAGTTGTTTACGTGTTGGTTTTAGTTACTGCAGCTACATACTATTAACACTCCTTCCCTTTATTAATGCTACCCCTCCCTTTGATGCTGCTAATCCTGCATAATGCACGTGCATAATTAGTACTATTCACATACCTGCATTTCCCATATCCCCTCCCTTTGATGCTGCTAATCCTGCATAATGCATGGGCATATGTAGTACTAATCACATTTCTGCATTTCCCATAAATATGCTAAATTCCTCTTGATATGCAAATTCTTTTGTCGAAGCGCCCTTTCCCCCCCTCCCAACCCAGCTTATTTATATGCTCCAAGCTCGTGTGCTGTTTCATTCAGACGCTGTCTCCCCGACAGACCTGGTTTTCACCTGAGGACGGCTGCTTGCGTTGTGGCCGAAACGTCGTGAGAATTATTTTATTATGTTTTATTTTTATTATTTTATTACTTCCCTTCTACGTGACTTTACCGAAAGAACCAAGAAGATGAATCCCTGCAGTCACGAAAGCTTTAAATCGAAATCTATCTACGTGACTTTACCGAAAGAACCAAGGATATGACCAAAACATCCCAATGCTGAAAATATATTTGAACATTATTTGGCAGGATCCTGCTTAAAAAGTGTCTTCAGACTCGTTGGCGCTTTCCCTAATAAACGAGCAAAATAACCTTGGCCCACCTCTCTTCCTCGTCCCTTCCACTGGCCCCAGAAGGACGCTGCTGGAAAGGCCCTGTGGTCTGTGAGTGACGCAGCCCAAACCATGACAGGATCCTCTGTACTCTTACCAGTATCGGTTTGTGTACTCTGTATATACGCACATTGAACTTCTTTCGCACCATACGTAAGCCAACCACGCTGATTCTTTTAGTCACCGCCATGCGAATAATGCTGAGATGTGCGTGATTGTTTTAGGAGGATGATGAAATGGGCCCAGCAATGAGGCTTGAGCTGGGTGAAGATGGTGCAGCGGAGCAGCAGACGCATCACATCATCATTCCCAGCTACACCTCTTGGTTTGAATACAACAGGTATGCTGCCATCCAACAACGCGCATGTGTACATATCGCTACCATCCAACACGTGTGTTCATAAATACACGTCAGTGCACATTTCAGAATTCTAAGGGGTTTATATACACAGACATATGCGAATTCTGAAATGAGATGTAGAGTAATCTCTCGGTTAAAATTTTGTATCCATTCCACCAAAACTACTGTTAACCAACATATCTGTTGATTGATAACAGGAATTACATGTTAAAAGCATTCATCCAAAAGAGAAAATGTAATGTATACAAAGCCAGTCGAGGTCTCAATGCTCATAAATGGGAATCGCTGATTGGCTGAGGGCATGGCTCAGCCCCACTTACGAGCGCTCGGATTGGACGAAATTGGAGCCCGCATGCATAACGTAACGTCCAGTTCATGAACATTTTAATGTTAGTCCAAACCATGGGGTCCTATTGGAGGTGAAACATTGACCAAACAACTTAACCGATGTCCCTGTTAACCAAGAGACTACTGCAATGAAAATGCAGTTTTCTAGGATTAGTGACTAAAAACTCGATTTTTTTTTATATCTACCAAACCCTTGCCCATAGTGGGGGTTACGTTCTTGAAAATAGCCGCAATCAGCAAATCTGCGATCCGCCAACTGGTTCCCAGTTCGTAATCTGACACCCACCCCCTCCTTTGGTTTCATGTTACTCTACGTGAACCCAAACATGAAACGAGAAGTATTTTTTACCTTAAAATATGATTTATAATTTCTACAGTGATAATTTTTTTTTCAGTTTTACAGTAAATGTAAATAATGGAAAAAAAGTAATGTAGTTAAGAATAATCGCAGGCGGCCTAACCTCACCACCGCCTCCTCACTGGCCACTGGGAACACCGCGTGGCCTGCGACCCGCAATGGGCTGCGTGGAAGACGAGACGAGGGCAGAGACGGAGACGCAACAGAGACGGAGACGGCACTGTGTGTATTCTTCCGCGGCCGCATCATCACGAGTAGTGCAGTTAAGAGTAGCTGTACAGTACTACTTTACGATGTGTGCTGTACAGGAATCTCACGTTCAATCGCGATATGATCGAGCCACGTGGGGCGAGATCGGCAAACTAAACCTCGATAAATTTGGCGTGAACGGTCAAATTCGCGATTAAAAAACATGCGCTGCGCAAGATTTTAGTGTATACAGTAGTCCCTCTGTTAACGTTTTTCACCCATTCCACGAAAACTACTGTTAACCAGAATAACTGTGAATCGAATTTACTTATAAGTTGAGAAATAAGTCGAAATCTCCGAGTCTGCAAGAGAGCTGTTTTTACACTGCCCAAAACAGAAAACGTAATGTAAATAAAGCCATTCGAGGTTCAAATGCTCATAAATGGGCATCGCTGATTGGCTGAGGGCGTGGCTCAGCCCCACTTACGAGCCCTCGGATTGATCGAAATTGGCGGCCGCGTGCATAACGTAAACATACCATTAGTCACAATGTTAATGTTAGTTGAAACCATGGGGTCTGTGAGAGGCGAAACGTGAACCGAGAAACCGTTAACCGATGTCACTGTTAACCGAGGGACTTCTGTATTGCGTTACGAAATGCAATGTAAATCAGTGTTGGTGCGTTATTTTTCTGAATTGGGATGTTGGGTCAATAACAGTGTTGTGAAGTTACGGGAGTAAACTGGGGAACCAGGAGGAATTCCCATGCAGAACAGGGGAAAACAAACTCCACACAAAGGCACCCGAGTCAGGTATCAGACCCAGGGGCTTCTGGTTGTGAGACAAGTGTAACCACTGTACCACCATACCACCAAAATAATAATAATATGTAATGATTATTTTCTTATTTTCCAGTATTCACGCAATTGAAAGGCGAGCACTACCGGAGTTTTTCAACAGCAAGACAAAATCAAAAACTGCAGAAATGTGAGTGTTTACCGAGACATTTAAATGTACAGTGGTCCCTCGGTATACAACCGCTTTGGAATACGTCGAATTTGGTATACGTCGTGTTTTTCCGAGACAAAAATGTCTTGGGATACGATATCTTGCTTGGGATACGACGCGTTTGCTAGAACTTGTATGGGTCGGGATGAGTCACCGCGTACAGTACCCGCGTATGCCGGTTCACGACTGAAACAAAGCGAGAGGGGCGGGGCGGCGTGGGGGAGAGGGGCGGGGCGGCGTGGGGGAGAGGGGCAGGGGGGGAGAGGGGCGGGGGACGTGGGGGAGAGGGGCGGGGGACGTGGAGGAGAGGGGCGGGGGGCAGGGGGGAGAGGGGCGGGGGGCGTGGGGGAGAGGGGCGGGGCGGCGTGGGGGAGAGGGGCAGGGGGGGAGAGGGGCGGGGGACGTGGGGGAGAGGGGCGGGGGACGTGGAGGAGAGGGGCGGGGGGCAGGGGGGAGAGGGGCGGGGGGCGTGGGGGAGAGGGGCGGGGGGCAGGGGGGAGCCTGCCCCCATGGAGGGTGGAGCCCCGGGTCGAGGTGCGCGCGACGTGGGGGATTGAGGCACGCCACGTGACCAGCGCAGCTGGCAGCAGCAGCAGCGCGGTCACGTGGCTTCTGTATGCATTTTAGTAATTAGTGTCTAAATTATTTTATACAACCCCATTAATGTATAATATGCCATATAAAATGTCCTTTATTTTCCTCTGGAACGGATTATTTACTTTCCCTTTATTTCTTATGGAAAAATTCGTTTGGTATACGTCATATTCGGTATAAGTCCTACCTTCTGGAACAAATTAACGACGTATACCGAGGTACCACTGTATGTAAATGTACGTATGTAAGTATTACTTCTCTTTGGTTCTTTAGGTAAAGTCACGTAGGTATAAAATAAAATAAATTAAATCATGACATTTCGATTGCAACACAAGCAATCATCATCAGGTGGGAAAAGCACAGCAATATATTTTTTTTGCTGAAGTGGGAGAGAGTTGCCGTGGGGAGAGGTTATATAGGTAAGAAAGGGGGAGGAGCAAGGGGGGAGAGGGAGGGGTGTGGGGTAGGGGGAGGGAGAGCACTGCGTGTACGCGAGGCAGAGGTCGCAAACGGGTTTTTGATTCCTTACCCGTACCCGGCCGCACCAGGGTCGCAAACGGGTACCCGTACCCTACCCGATACCCGGCTACCCGTACCCGGCCGGTTATCGGGTAGGGTACGGGTATCGGGTACCCGATTGCGACCTCTTACGCGAGGAGAAGGACGTGAGGCGGGGAGGGGGAAGTGGGCGGGGTTGGGAGTGGGAGGCCGAGAGCTGGGGATGCGGGGGGGGGGGGTTAACTCGAAAAAATATGATAGACGACAACCACTACAAAGCAGTTAGGGTTTTACCTGGTTAATAACATCCTTCCAATGATTGCTCAATTTGTATCCATCTTCTCGGTTGAAGTTATGTCTGTTTATATATCTGGATGGCTTCATGAACAAACCTTTGATAGTATCACGCGAGCCCACAGCGTTATAACAATGGTCAGCCACGGCAGAGATATTGGTTCTGCCGTGTTTCAGATCTGCCTTGTGTTCGCGAACACGGTCCGAGATATGTCGTTTCGTTTCCCCAATGTAACAGCTACCACAGGTGCAACTTAGTTTGTAGGGAGTGGTAGTGTAGCGGTTAGTGCATCTGCGCTACGAACCCGGTGACCAGAGTTTGATTCCCGCTCACGGCCAACACCAGTTACAATTATCTGAACGCGTTCTGGGCCTCCCCTCGGTCGACTCAGCCTCAAATGAGGACCTGGTGCAGTGTGCAAACATTGCCACTGGGGAGACAAAGGTGGCCAGGCGTGGTGTTGGCCACCCACCCCCCTCGTGTGCCGTGCCGGCCTTCATAGATGCTACTCGCTAACAGCACATGCCTCAACAGTCTGTTCAGGATTTTCGGGAGCTCTTTATTTTTGTTATTAATGAACTAGGCAAACACTTCATCTTGGCCTCATGGATCTCCATGCAAAAGGAAATCCAATCTCCACTGCTGGGACCAGTCTGGAATGGTCCACCCACTTGTTTTTTCTGTATTTACGGCTCCCTCTATCTCGGGCCTCGCTATGCGCTGCGTTGCACCGCTATCCGAGTAGTTAACCTCGCATCCAATAAACCTTCAAAGCCAGGGTGAACATCCGATTCCAAACGTAATTTTTTTAATTGAACGAGGTAAAACTGATGGAAAAACACAGCACAAATACAGCATATATTAATACTTGGTAATATCAATACAATGAATGAACACTACAGCACCATAACATTGTATTAGATAGCATGAACTCAACAATAGATCCTGGATGGACCAGGCACCTACATTAGTACTGCATAGCTATACAAGAGAACAAGCTACTGTGTTAAATAAAGGCACATTGTTTAATCATCACACTGCCCTCCAAATGTACAGTACTACATATAACACTGAGCTGTGGATGAGACATTTCGTCATCCTTGCTCTCCAGATCGCAATATAGTTACTTGGGTGCAAGTTTGACTCGACTTATTCAATTACAAGTAACAATCACAATAAGGCAAGCTGCAGGCTTCGTTGTTAACTAGGCCTTGTATTTATCATAACAATTGAACAGCATTATAAAGGCATTTACAGCATTATAACGGTCATTCTAACATAACAGCATTCCCAGTATTATAAGAACATAAACGAACTTACAGACAATGCTTCTTAAAGTCCCACAATGTACAGTTACAGCTGACTTCCCTGGGATGCGATTTGTGCCACCATCTTGAACTCTGTGTAATGGCGGACGCCAGCCTCGTGGCTGAAAGACTGTCAAATCGTAACTTCCTGGTCACGTAACCAAACTCAACCTCAAAACAGGAAATTCCTGTATACACACACCCCCCACTCCTGCCGTGGAGCAAAACACCTGCCGTGAGGCAGAACACCCTCTGTCTTTCAAAGAAGATAATTAACTTGATGCACATCATACATTTTATTATCCTCCATGATGATTATTAGTATTTTATTCATTACACTTGATGTCTACCCAGGAGAGCCTCACTGAGTCTCATGACTTTTTCAGGAGCGTCCTGACATGTTTTCCCAGCCCAGGAGTGGTTATTGCTTCGTACGAGTAGATTCCAATTTTGGAATTTGTGTGTATTTTTTTTTGGCAAACTTGCACCATGACGCCAGCACACAATAGCCTATACAGTAATCCCTCGCCAACTGCAGGGGTTAGGTTCCTGGAAAAGGCCGCGGTAGGCAAATCCGCGGTTGGTAAAGTACCAGCGGCCTATGGATAAAAGGGAGTCATGGGAACCACGGCCGCGGTAAGACTCGCCATAGCTTAACTAAGTTTGCCGATTTATTAACGAAACAACAAATAAGATGGAGTACATCTTCTTGGTTCTTTCGGTAAAGTCACGTAGAAGGGAAGTAATAAAATAATAAAAATAAAACATAATAAAATAATTCTCACGACGTTTCGGCCACAACGCAAGCAGCCGTCCTCAGGTGAAGAACATGTCTGTCGACAGACATGTTCTTCACCTGTCTGTCGACAGACATGTTCTTCACCTGAGGATGGCTGCTTGCGTTGTGGCCGAAACGTCGTGAGAATTATTTTATTGTTTTATTTTTATTATTTTATTACTTCCCTTCTACGTGACTTTACCGAAAGAACCAAGAAGATGAATCCCTGCAGTCACGAAAGCTTTAAATCGAAATTTAAGATAGAGTACATTACACAACAACATAATAAAACATAAATAAACTTTACATTAACTTTATATACATTTAATATTAACGATGATGATGACAATGAGATGTTGGGGGAGGGGTGGTTAGAAGGAGGTGCTCAGCCCACCCCCTCTTCCTCCAGGTAATCAATAACAGATGAGTGGGCAGGCACAGAGGCAGGCACAGTGGCACCACCAGCAACGAGCCCTAATCGAAACATCACTTTTTTATGGTTCTAATTGTAGACTCATTCAGCCCAAAGACTCTCCCCATAGACATGTGGTGGGTAATTGTCGGGCGTAATACGCCGCCACCACGACGGTTAAACATGTACCTCCAGTCAGGGGCCCATAGGGGGCAATAGCGGGTCCGGTCTGTACGAAGTCGACTCGTGGGTCAGGCAACCTGGGGAACGGTTAGGAACCAGAGGGGGACACCCCAAACCCCCAGTGCGGGCTGGGGGATTGCGCAACAATTTAGGTCCCTCCAGAAGGTTCCAGAGAGTGAGCATGGCCAGGGGCGGAGTGACCCTGGGAGCCCCATAAAAGCCGGACCCCAGAGCAGCTCGAGCCAGTCAGCGTCAAGCCGAAGACCCAAGAGCTCACCTGAAGATAGGACCCTGGACCCGAAGCTCCGCCGTCCTTCTAAGGGCCAGAGCTCAGTGAGGCCAGTGGTCAGTAGGCTAGGACTCTGAAGATCCCCGAACCCGACGTCCTTCTCAGGGCCGGGTCTGAGTGGGACAGTGGTCGGGACCCGAGGACCTAGGCTGGGTCGGGTCAGCCTCCCCTTGGTCCCGTTAGCCAGAGGGCTAAGAGTGGTTGGTCCCAGTGGCTAGGGCACGTTAGCCCGGAGGCTGTACCTCCTTAGGTTGTTGGGTAGAAGGGGCCATTACCCCTTCGTGTTTTAGGGACCTGTGTAAATTGTTAAATTAATACGTGTTGCCTCCTAAGAAGACTCCGTCTCTATACAACCCACTACAGACACAACACTCTCCCCACGTGCACAAGCCGATCCAATAACCCATCACTCTTCTTGCTCTGTTTGTATTTTTCTCACCTTCACCGCTCGCTGCACGCTTTTGGTCCATGATTAAGGGGAAAATAAATGTGAACGATCAACGAGGAAAATATGTGGTTGCGATGTGACTCGGTCTTTGCACTGTGAGAATTACGACAAAACAAAGGGACAGCTGATAAGCTACGACGCAGCGTTACGGGTGGCTATGGTTGGTCACGGGGTA